GAAGGGAGAAGAGCTCATGAGGTCTGTATCGACTCATTGAGTGAGTGAGTGAAGACGATGATGATAATGCTGACGATGATGTGTGTGTGTGAGTGAGTGAGTGAGTGAGTGAGTGGGTGGTAGGTGGTGAGTGAGTTTGTGAGTAAAGGAGTGATGATGCTGCGTGAATGTGAATGTGTGTGGGCGAGTGAGTGATTGTGTAAGTGATGATGATATGATGGTGGTGATGATGATGGTGATGATGATGATGATGATGATGATGATGATGATGATGATGATGATGATGATGATGATGATGATGATGATGTGAGTGTGTGCGTGTGTAAGAGTGAGTGTGTATGTGGTGAGTGAGTAAGTGAGTGAGAAGAGAAGGGTGTTCCTGTGTGTTCCTAGGCGGGGTGTCCAGAGAAAACAAGATCACCACTTTGGATGTGGGGGAAAACCGGTTCCGGTGAAAGAGTCCGGACCTGACCTCTGGGGCCCACGCACCGAACAAAATTGGAGCAGCCGGATGTCTGGGAACCGTGCGGCGACAGACTGCGCGGTGACCTCGGCACCCCGAGCAACCTCACCGCACGGTCCGTCAGCGCAGGGCTTGGCGACCCTATGAGAAGCCCCCGTCGCTCGAGACATCCTCGGAGAGCGACCCGAGTCCCCACACCGCGCGGTGCCCCCGAATCCCCACGGACTACTACCCCGAACCCGCTTGGTAGCCCCCGAATCCCCCCTGGCTCTTGGCGGCGCGCACACATGGGTTAGAGGGAGGGGGAAGGCTTCTTAGAAGGAGGCTGCTTCTTAGAAGGCGCCGGCATGGCATCAATAGAGAAGGCCCGCGCCTTCTAAAAAGCAGAGGTGCTTCTAAGAAGCCATCCCCCTCCTGCTACCCCCCTCTGCTCGGGAAGACGTAAGACTCGCTCAGGTACGGGGGACTCGGGTTGGCCTGACGGGGCCATCATAAACATGACGAGACCCAATATGAAGTCTGACGCGAGCTCCCGCCGCAGACATCCCACGAAAACTGGACCGTCGAAGATTCCTGGACGCGCTCGCCAAAAAACGTCAGCAAACCCGAGATCTGGCCTGCTCGAGTCTTACGTTTCCCCGACTAGAAGGTGCCCGTGGCCCAAAGGTGCCCCCAGCCTTCCGCTCCAACTTGGAGCCCCTCGAGCCCCCTGGGCCTCGCGAGGGGTGCTCTGGAGGCCGTGGGCGCCTCCCCGGACATCCTGGGGGCACCTCGGGCCAGGACTTCTGGCTTGGCCTGCCATGTGGGGCCTGCTTCCCCCCCTCTGCGCGTGGCCGAGGCTCGCCACCGGTACGGTCACCGTCGGGGATCTTGTGACCCGGGGTCAATCCAGACCCGGGTCAGCAGGAAGCCAAGAAACTGCAACGCAGGAAACCAAAAAACTGCAACCGCAGGTTTTCGCAAACCCGGGCCAGCCAATACGCCGGGCCGCCTCGCGGCCACGAGCGGCTCGCAAGCCCGGGTCAGCCAGAGGGGGTCTTCGCAGGATCCTGCAGGATCTGGTGCCCTGGCTGACCCCCGTTTGCATTGACCCCCGTCTCAAGGCTCCCGACACCGCACCGCTTTGGGGCCCCCGGCAGCCGCAGCAGCAGGTAGCCCGGGAGCGCCGGCAGGGCCAGCGCGAGCCGCGCGGCCGCGAGCAGGCGCGCGGCCCCGACCAGGGCCAGCGGCCACTCGGCGCGCGGGGGCGCCGCCATCGGGCCGCGCGCGGCCGCCCGCGGAGGACGCGCGGCCTCTGGCCGGGCGAGCCCCACGGGCGCGGGGGCACCAGGCGAAACCGAGATCCAGGCGACCCCATTAATGGGTTTCTTCGAGCCGGACGCTTGCGCCCAGTTTCGAGCCCCGCGGCCCTCGCGGATGTGGATCCGGCGCGGAAAGAGGCGCAGGGAGATGGGGCCCAGGGCTCCCGGCGTGATGTCTCACGGATGTCTCAACCGTGTCGAGACGTCGGATCTCAGGGGAGGCTGCGCTCACGGGCGCTCTGAGAGGGACCTCGCGGCGGGGCGCGGCTGGAGCAGGCACGGCTGCGGGGAGCCCGAGGTGCTCCGAGGGCTGCCTTGGAAGCACGGGCCCGGTCGGGGGCGCGCAGCCTGCGAGCGGCGCGAGCCCACGGGGCCCGATGCACGCTGCCGAGCCCCCGAGCTCAAGGACCTCGACGCCCCTCGGGGGCACACAGTGAACCTCGCCCACCGGCTCCCGCAGGCCTTCCGCCGAGCAGTGAGGCGGCACGCCCCTCGCTCCATCCAGACGGCGAGGCCTGCACTGGAGCGCCCCACGTGCAGTGGAAGCCAGCCCACAAGAAACCTTCCACAAGAAGCCCAACCCTGAGACCCCAGGACGTCCATCGATCTGTGGTGTGGAAACGTCACGCTTTCCAGCGCAAAACCCTCGAAACCCAAGAAACCCAGGGCATCCTGGAGGCAAGCAGGGTGCTTCTTGGCATAGGCCTTCGGTGTAGCTTGCGACGGACGGAGCCCTCACAGGGACAGAGGCCCACGCATCCTGCCAGCGGCGTTAAGGGCATGTGAGATCTCGCCCCATCGCATGCGACCAGTGTGGAACGCCCTCCCGGCTTCCCTGACTTCCAGAGCACCAACTTCGAGGACGCGAAGGGCACGTGGTCCTCTGCTCGACAGCTGGCGTCGGGAAGAGGTCTGGCAGCCCCACGCAGGTCGGAAAACCGGGAAAACTACAAGCATGTGAGAGTAATACGTGGCTCCCCTCTGGAAAGATAGAGCGCGGAGTGCCCCCTCTCAGCAAGCACTTTCTGGAGGCGTGGAGAGGGAGTGCCCCGACATCCGACGAGCGGAATCCTCGAAAAAATTGCACTCGGAGCCCTTGCACGATCAAATCGACCGAATCGAACCCAATCCGTGGGGGGGGGGCAGAGTAAAAGTTGCCCTGTGTGCGTGATCAAGTTCGCTGACGCACCGGCACGCATCATCGCATCGATCGCCTCGTGGACAGCCATGCCCCCTCAGGAACGCTATAAGAGGGGGCGGTGGGGAGGCAGAGAGGGAAGGGGCAGGACAGGCGCGATCGTGCCACATCTGGCATCCCACTCTTCCTCCTCCTCCTCCTCCTCCTCCTCCTCCTCCTCCTCCTCCTCGTCCTCCTCCTCCTCCTTCTCCTCCTCCTCCCTCCGCCTCCGCCTCCGCCTCCTCTGCCTCCTCCTCCTCCTCCTCCTCCTCCTCCTCCTCCTCCTCCTCCTCCTCCTCCTCCTCCCTCCTCCTCCTCCTCCTCCTCCTCCTCCTCCTCCTCCTCCCTCCTCCTCCTCCTCCTCCCCCTCCCTCCGCCTCCTCCGCCTCCTGTTCCTCCTCCTCCTCCTCATCTTCCTCCTCCTCCTCCGCCTCCTCCTGCTCCCTCCCATCCCTTACCATTGCGCTGAGTCCTCCTGTGCTCACAGAGTCAAGCGTCGACGAAGACACGGATCCCGAAAGGGAAACCTGGACGAAGAAGGCCTGGGAGATCCAGGCCCGGCGCCGACCCGAGAACCCTCGGGGGGCATTCGACAGTGTCCGTCCGCGCCGCTGTTAGCTCCAGGCCTCTTTAGGAAGGCCGCCCCCCTTGCGCCATTCCCCCGCTGGTGCGCGCCGCCAACCGACATGGAACCGGAAGGATCGAATCGCCGTGGCCAGGCAATGCCGAGAGGGGTCACAACGAGGGGGTCGCCGCCTCTCCTCCAGGACACGGAGCCCCCTGGGCCCCGCGGAAAGCACCCATGTTTCCCCGAGACGACCCTCCTCGATCCCCGATCCCCGATCCCCGATCCCCCCCTCCCCGACCCTCGATCCTCGACCCCCCCCCCTGCCCGAGCCTCGATCTCGAGATGGTCACCCCCTGCGGTCGGGAGCGTTTGCTCAGCATGTCGCCGCGGCGGCCCTGGCGACACGCTGTGCCCTGCTGGCGGATGGCGTGCCGCGCCGCTCCGCGAAGTGGGAGATGCGGAAAGGCTCGAGACGCGGAGGCCTGGGGGCCAGGGAATGGACAGCGTGTCGCGGCGGAGCGCGGTGAGCCAGAGCCGGCGGAGCGACGCGCTGCCCAAAGGTTCCCGACCTTCTTCAGCTACACGCAGAGTGAACCCCAGGCAGGACCAACCCCTGGTGCTCGGCTTCGGGGGGCCGTGGGGCCGCAGAGGAGGGGGGGAGGCGGAAACACAAGCGCGAAAGCCAGTCAGTGCTGTGGGGGGGCCCTGTGAGCCCGCACCACAGATCGCCCCAGCGAAGGGTTACTCATATTTGGATGCTCGAGATGAGTAAAAAAACGTACGATGCCCAACAGCACATGTTGTCGAAAATCGGCAGCGGCCGGTGCTGGGCAGGCACCCTCGTGTATCGCATGGACAAAGTCCGCGGCAACACCGAAAGCGAGTGCTGTTCAAAATTGACAAGGACTGAAGTTGGTATGTTTGCCAATTTGTTCCGTGCCCATTTCGAGCGTGCCAATCTTACGCGCAGCCGCCCCATGTGGCCACCGCGCCCCTCTTTGGCAGCACCCGACGAAGGGCCCTGCTGCGAGGTGGGGGAGTATCCATATCCACCGCCTGGGAACCGACGTCCTGAAGATCTAGCGAGCGGTGGTCGGGCATCTACTGACTGGGGCCAATGCATACCCGAGCCAATCTTGCTTTACAGGATCCTGCAAGATCCTTTGGGATCCTGATTGATCGTGCACCCAAGCCTGGGTCAATGCGACCCGAGCTCCGCAGGATCCTGCAAGATCTGGCGCTCTGACTGACCCGAGTTTGCATCGACCCCCGTCTCTTGAAACCCCAGGTGGATATGGATATGGATAGATCCTTTTGTATAGACATAAATCTATACATGTATAAGATCTAAGGGCATATACATGGACATATACACATACATCTGCAACGAATACAAATATGTGCATACATATAAGACTGTATGCCCCCAGGGGCCCGAACATGCCCATACCCACCGCCTGCGGAGGCCCTCGAAAATCGATCCTCCAGGCG